TTTGGGTCAGATGTTTTCTTTTTAAAATTGAATGCAAGGCTGCATTTATTAGTTAAAAATATCAGTAAATCAGTATTATTGTGACGTACTGTATTATTGCAATTCAAAATAACTTTTCTATTATTGTAATATATTTTAAAATTCAATTTATTAATGTGATGCAAAACTAAATTTTCCACATCGTTACTCCTTTCATTACTGTCGTCAGTGTCACATGATCCATCAGAAATCATTCTAATATGTTGATTTACTGCTCAAGAAACATTTCTGATTGTCATTGAACAAATGTTAGTGATACAATGATTTTCTATCTATCTATCTATCTATCTATCTATCTATCTATCTATCTATCTATCTATCTATCTATCTATCTATCTATCTATCTATCTATCTATCTATCCTTCACTACATTGCATGTTTAATGCAACATGTAGCATCTAGTTATCATCTCAGAAATAAATATGATTATTTTTCAGTCTTAATTGACATTTACATTTAATCATTTAGCAGACGCTTTTATCCAAAACAACAAAAGAGCCACAATATATAAGGATAATACATAAATATGATATACATTTACATTTCTGCATTACATTTCTTTTCCATCCAACAAAATAATGAGTCATGAAGTTAAAATTCACTGTATATTGCCCCAATTTGTACGTATGTCTCACTATAAATGAGAAATCAAGTCAAATGCATTGCAATGTGGGATACAGTAGGCGTGCATGTTTGCATGATGCACACTTGGGTGAGTGCAGCAAGTAATCCACGTATTCCATACTTATAGACATTTTGCATACTGTGCATAATACACATGCTGCTAAACTAGCAGTAGTATAGTTGTATGTCCTTCCAAACCATTATCGGTCCTCAATATAATCATTTAACACGTCCGATAACATGTTGCTACCCGGTGAGGAAAGACAAGTCACCGTGAGAATCTGGATCAGATCTCTGGAGAGTGTTTACCCCTCCCATCCAATTAATCGCACTGGGCGGTGGGTCTGTGAGAGAGGGCCTGCGGTTATAGAAGACAAACACATGCAATGTTACATTAATCATACTGTACACAGGAAGATCCAATTATGAGGGAGGGAGAGAACAAAGGGGTGGGTGTTCACAGAGGACGACCCAATGGGAAGACAAATACCCTCCATAACCACAGACAAAAATGGCACAGGAGAGAGAGCGAGCGAGAGAGAGAGAGAGAGG